TGTTCAAGTATCTCTATGACGCTGGGCCCAAGTCATCGAAAATAGTCTTTGTTTATAGTTTTCATTGTACTTATCTATTTACTTAAGGGGAAAGTGTAGTTGGTTGTGTATATAATTTTCGCAAAACGTAATAAGGATGGTATCCTAAAATTTTCTGTTCCTACTGCTGCATGTATGTTCGAAACAGAAACACCAGTACACGTAACCATATTTAGTTTATCAGTTACCTGCAGGAACCACAATGCAAGACTATTTTAGAACAAAGACAAATTCCCATAGACAACGTCTTAGTTCAGAATGTTAAAATGGTTTATGGCTCAGCACAGCAAAGCACAACGCAAGTTTGTCTGCGGTGTTAACAATAATCCAGGAATTTTTAAGAGTAGCAGGTGAATAGTGGTAATAATGCAGGGTGCGGGTAAGGTATCTATATAACACATTGCGTATTCGAAGGTGTTATTATGAAAATAGGGAGCATGGCGATACAGGGCACGATTCTTTATAATGAGGCCTTAACAATAATATATTGGTGCTACATGTATTAATATTAATTGCGTGAGGGTGGTCGTTATTATTTTGATAGAAACAGCACCACTATGCCTAAGTAGAGCAATTATCATTACTAACCCTGACGACCGTGATCGGTTTCATCAGAATTCTTCGGAGAGTCCGCAATCAAGCATATACACTCTCATTTTGATGATAATAAGATTCGTAGCTGCGTATATCTACAGCATCGAAAACACACACACACGAGAGAAAGGGAGATAGGATAGATAGATAGATAGAGAGAGAGAGAGAGAGAGAGAGAGAGAGAGAGAGAGAGAGAGAGAGAGAGAGAGCGAGAGAGAGAGAGAGAGAGAAGAGCAAGAGAGAGAGAGAGCGAGAGAAGAGAGAGAGAAAAAGAAGAGAGAGAGAGAGAGCGAGAGAGAGAGAGATTCCATGTAAGTTGCGGCTGATTGTCATGTTCGGATTGGATGCCGGAAGAACAAGCAACAGGAGAAGCAGAGGGAACGGGAATATCTTACTGCACCAGTCAGTAATTCTGTTTCGAGAACTGAAAGCAAATAGATATATTTCATTTGTATGGAGATTAGCCAGGCTATGGCCTAGTGGCTCAGTGGCAACCTTGCGCACAGATTAACGGTTTCCTGATATTTTGAGGGATGTGATGCATTCTTAAACCTCATGCTTTCAAAACTTAAACCGGAGCAAGTGAGAATAGGTGTCCTATGCACCCTCACCATGAAGCGGTCTATGTGTCCTATGCCCTGTCCCCTATGCACCCTTACGTGAAGTCTATGTACTCTGTGTCCCAGTCCCTAGGTGTCCTGTGCCCCCGTCGCGAATATCCATAATCATTTTTATATTCTCTAGCAAGAATTACAGACATTTTAAGGACGTGATTTAATCTCCTGAACATTCTTATTGTGGAAACAGTTTGTGCAGAAATCCATTTCTAGTTGCTTATTGACAAGCAATATTATGGTTCTGCTTATCTGTAAACCGTCGTTTTGACCCCCCCCCCCTCTCTCTCTCTCTCTCTCTCTCTCTCTCTCTCTCTCTCTCTTCTCTCTCTCTCTCTCTCTCTCTCTCTCTCTCTCTCTCTCTCTCTCTTCTCTCTTCTCTTTCTCTCTCTCTCCCTCTCCTCTCTCTCTCTCTCTCTCTCTCTCTCTCTCTCTCTCTCTCTCTCTCTCTCTCTCTCTCTCTCTCTCTCTCTTCTCTCTCTCTCTCTCTCTCTCTCTCCTCTCCTCTCTCCCTCTCTCTCTCTCTCTCTCTCTCTCTCTCTTCTCTCTCTCTCTCTCTCTCCCTCTCTCATCTCTCTCTCTCACTCTTCCACCTTACCACACATACGCACACAAACCACTTGCTAATCCATCACAGCGATCAGGTCTTTCATTGCGTCATTGCGTTACGTCGTGAGGAGATTATCACTGTGATAGTAAACATTATTAAAGAATGTTACCAAAGTCTATAGCCCAAGATTAAGGGGCCTGATTACGCCTAAAGCCGGGCTAGACATGCAAACAAGACACTGTAACAGGGTTGTATTGCGGGACGAAAATGGAAGGGAAATGTCGAGTTCAGAGTCCAGCTTCGGCTTCTCGCGAACTTTCCTGCGGCCAATGTTGCTCAGTTGTTCTGCCTGGATAGTATTTGTTTATCTATATCTCTCGTTTCTATATCTGTCCTTTTCTCTTATTATCTTTTTGTCTCCATATCCAGTTACTCTGTCTCCCATTCTGCCAATGATATAAATGAATACTTGGGTAATTACATGCAGTCTCATACATATCGACACACATGCATGTACACACGCGAAGAAAAAGGGAGAGAGAGTGTTACAGACACAAAAAACGAGAAAATGTTTCAATCATTCTCATGGGATAGCCATTATCTAAATATACTGGAAACGCATGTTACCTTGGAGAAACTTCTAAGCACTGTGATTACTTGTGATTTGTTTGTTTTTTATCAGTAGGTAATTCTAAACAATGAA